GGGGGGGGGGGGGGGGGGGGGGGGGGGGGGGGGTTGGAGGGAGAGGAAAAAGGCATAATGGCCAGAAGGAAGCGTAGTGAATGCAGAGAGCATTTTATGGCAATATTAACACTGATTTTTTTAACTGTGTCAACTGACTGTCCTTAGTTGGCAGGAGCAATTTGAACTATTTTCAGAATTTTGCACTTTTTATATGTGCTCAGATTCAATGAAAAAGATTAAACCAAAAAGCGCGTAACTGTGCTTATATCAGAGTAAAATAGGGGGGTTAGAAAGGGCCATGGAAGTCTAACTAAGAAGTGATCATTCCAAAATGGAATGTTTGCGTTGTGGTAGACAAGGGTTGGTAAAGTCAAAGTCTTCGCCATACGCGCTGTCTATGAAAAGCGGAGCCGCTCGACAATATTCCAAGAGTAACAAGTGCCAGAAGAAGCTAGTAACATAGGCTCTCGATTATTTTGGAAGTTAAATGCTGTTGTTCCACCTACGGGCATCAAAATGCGTTTTCACCGGCGGTCGAATGCATGGGCTGCAATCAAACCGTACAAAATTTTTTAATATAATTTTTTAATATAGGATTTTTAAATAAGGCCGCTGGAAGAGAATAAGTTTTAACGGGCTCTGTGCACATCAGCCATCATTACGGCAAGAGTTCACTGGGCCTAGTTATATAATTTTCCATTTAATTACGACGCATACCAAAGATAAAAAATGGAAAAATTGTGTACGCTTTGATTGTAGCTCATGCATTCGACCGCCGGTGATAACGCATTCTGATGACCGTAGGTGGAACAACAGCATTTAACTTCCAAAATAATAATGTGAGCTTAATCTCACATAGTTTAACGAGTTTTTGGGAGGCATTCATCCACTCACTGCTGATTGATCAAGTGAGCCAGTGTTGGGCAGGTACGGAGCGACATGCTCTTCGATGCGGGAGGGCGATGTGCCTTGCCCCTCTTTATACCAAATTCCGAAAAAAAAATTAGCGATTTAGCTATATTGTTGTGGTCGAGGGAGAGGATGCGGCATTCGACGACGATTTGTGTAACGATGTTTTTATGTCCCATCCTAATAACACGGTGCGAAAGGAGCGACGAGTATAAAGAGGGATCCAACCGACGACTCACCGATCAGATCGCCGAGAAAGCCAAGCAGACTGTGGTGGACATTGGTGAAGTGATGAAATCCCAACAATCCGTCTTGGAATGCGATGGCAAGAAGTTTGCTTTTCTAGCTTTTTTTAATCGACTTCCAAAATTACATACTTACTGCTCTGAATTATTCCCTTACCACATTAGTGGAACTACGGTTCCAGTTCCGGAGCTGAGCCAGCTCTAACTACAAAAATCTAGTGTTCAGAAGCGCTAAATGAGTTCGTTAAATCAACAGTAGCAATAAATTATGACTTTGGGTAGACTCGCATGTTGACCTCATATGGTCAGGCGCACGGATCTGACGGGGTTTTCAGGTCTCTATTTTCAACTATTTTAGAACACTGAGTGCTTTTCAGTCTATCACCACACCTCTCTTTTCCCCCCTACTGGTACAAGAAAGTCAAGGGGAAAGAAAAGCGAGAATTGGAGAGATGAGGGAAGAGGTGGGATTTTTAGGTAGCACTCAGCTTCCCAAACCTCACATTATGGCTTACTTTTTCATTCATCACATATTTTTCTCTCTGCAAGATAATTCCTGTATCAATGTCCAAGATCACAGACTCTGTTTTTTTTTTTCTTCCCGCACTTCAGCTCTTCTATCCCGCAAACCGCCAGCACAGCAATTCAGAAGAGCGTTAACCAGCACTGTCCTATTTCTCAATTCGCAACTGGTTTGAGAGAGCTTCTGAAGTCGGATTTCGCAATATTTCGAGCGCAAATCCTGAGAGGGTCTAGGGCAAACTGTCGCGGGAATTTAAAGACTCATTTCACTTGTTTTTTTGCAGTAAATTCGCGCTATATTTATTTTTATGCGTTTTGTGCGGTGCAACAGTTGCACAAAAAGCATGTTGTCATAGGGTTGTCTGTGTAAGTGTCTGTGTGCATGTATGTGTGTTTGTATGTATGTATGTCCGATGCATTTTGTCCTCAACTTTCAAATCGAGAATCACAAAAGCTAGGAATCTGAAAATTTGGGGGAATGTTCCTTGGCCAAGTGTAACTCCGCAAATTTTATTTCAGCCTTCCCCTACTCCTGGGTGTCACGTACGATCCCGCAAAAGTTCTGGCAGGAAAACTATTGTCTCAAGAACTACGAAAGCTAGGGAACTGGACTTTTAAGGTGATGACTCCTGCTCACGCATAACCCCACAGATTTAATTTTAGCCTTCCTTGCCCCTGGGTACCACATACGACACCGTGGAAATTTTGACAGAGAAATTATTAATTTGTGAACCACAAAAGCTAGGAAGCTGAGATTTTACGGTAATGTCCCCTGTTCACATGCGGCCCCAAAAATTCAAATTCAGCTTTCACATACGCCTGGGTCTCAACGTTTCCGTAAAAGTTTTTGGGGGAAAACTATTATCTCTGGTGCCAGAAGAGCTAGAAGGTTGGAAATTTCAGGAGGACGTTTTCCTATGCGGGAGTCTTACAAATTCGAATTTGGTTCCCAAGTATGCCGAGATTTCACGTACGTTCACGCGAAAGTTTTACGCCGAAATCACCCGAAGCCAGAAAATCAAGAGGTTGAAATTTTGGTAGGATGTCCACAGTCCAAGGGTTCAAATTCAGCTCTCACGCACCGGTATTTGAAATTTTTATGGGAAATTTTGCAACTTAGGAACCAAACAATATTGCAACCAATTTTGCACGGACTAAAGTGTAAAGCAGTGAAAATCCTTAGCAGACAAATGTGCGCTGGATGAAACTGCACAAAAAACATGATCGCACCAACTAGCCTGGTGCGCGCCGCTATTTATTTACTTTTTTGACGAAATTTTGCGAAACGCATTTAATTCTAGGACTTGTTTAATCAAGTTTAGTTTTTCGTGGGAAGTCGAGTCAATATCCAAACAGATGCTGCGTCTATTCTGGCTTTTCCTGGCTTTTCCTTCCCCCTCCCCCCACCCTCCTGCTCCCACTTCCCGCTGCTAGTTTCATTTTTTTTTTCACTCTCAGTCATTTGGTTCAGGGCTTTGCACTGTTGTTGTTAGAGAGGTGGTACTGCATTTTTTGTTGCACAAAAGGCGAGGAAACAAAAGGTAAAAGATGGAGAACTAGGTAATAACTGGCCTCTGAACAGCCGATAGGCTAAATAATTATCACATCTTGAAATACAACCGTTTCACGCCTACCATCAGTTACTCCCAAGATCATCATTATTAACATTATTATCATCATCAGCATCAACTTTAAAGATGTTACATCAGCATTCAAAATAAAGATAAGACTGAAAAATGCCCAGTGACTCAAACTAGCACTTTTTCCTTCATAACTTTGTTAATATCCTGCAATCTACAGACAAACATCTTAGGCGTTAGTATCCAATAAATTGCCTCAATAAGTCGTTTCTAGACAATCACTCCTCTCTGAATTTCGGAATTCGCAGTGTTTTTGCATTGGGACATTTTCAGGTGCCCAAACAACAACATATTTATATTTTATCAGTGCTGCAAAGACCTTCCAAAGGAATGTTGTTGGCATATTCGGTATTGGCTCACGTAAGTTTTTTGGTAGTTTAGCATGAAATCTAGAGATTCCACGTTATCTTAGATAATTCTACTTGTTGGGCTTTTTGGAAATCCTCGGCTTCAATCCTTAGGAAACCGATAGCTACTGACAGCGATAATAAACGAAAAATAAACTGAGGTAGTAACACGCACCAGGATTTCCACTAGGGCCACGCATTCTGACAGCTTGAAATTTATCACATCCATATATGAATTGTTAGCGTTGGGTACCACAGAATCAGAGGGTATTCTCAAAAAATTTCAGCCTTCTTGCCCACGTTCAGTGCGGAGAGAATAGGGTGATTAAAGTGAGAACACTTGTTGTGTCTGTACGCCGGTCCACATCTGTAAGTAAAAGCCCGTCTTACGCTGTCTGGATTTCGCACGGACAGCTCAGTCTGGTTATCAAGTTAGTTGAACCAGTGTCCCAAATTAAATATTCACTTGCGCGCACGCGAGATCTTAGTGTTCTTTAAAGCTAATTTTGAAACAGTTAGGTCATATGCACGCATAGAATATTCTCATACAATTTCAGTTTTCTAGCTTGACTGGCTGGTAAAATCACTTTTCGTTACAAATATCTTTGACGCGTTCGAACACGTGGCGCAAGCTTGCGCCAGAACTCATTTGCGCCTACACGTCCAATTATGAAAAATATTTAAAAACAAATATTCTTGTAAAATTGGGGGCTCCCCAAACAGCACAGCTTGGTTCACAGGTTGGCATTCTGCCAGCGATATTTCGATTTCAACACTAATCTATCAGTACATGTAGCGTAAGCGTGCGTGGCAGCTGAATTTAAAATTTCTTACACAAGAACAAATAATATCCATTGGAAATTTCAGATTTTTATTTTGTCTAGTTCCCGAAATGGTTTTTTAGCCAAAAACTTACATGTTTCACTTCAGCGTCTGTAAATGAGACTCAAAAGCATGAGAACGATAATTTTAAAACGGAAGAATCCCAACGGCGGTGGGCACGCACTCCAAACATTGCAGCGTTCTAGCATCTCTAATTATGCGTTTTTGCAAATTTATGCAAGTGCAAAGTAGTATAGTGACAAAGGGTTGTCGGTGTATGTATGTATGTATGTATGTATGTATGTGTGTATGTGTGTATGTATGTATGTATGTATGTATG